GACTTGGCTCTGCAAGGGATGACCCAGGTGGAGCTCAGGCACTCTCCTTTTCCTTACTTAATGATTTGGAACAAATAATCAAACACCCTACACGCGTTCCTGATCGACATGATCAACTTGCTAACATTTTTATCTTTGTTTTTACCTCTAATCCCTCACACTATTCATACTCAGTTTCTGCCCCCTTTGGGTCTTCTGATCACAATCTTATTTTTATTAAATCAAACTGGGCACGACCACCTCCCCACCCCCTTCTAAACGTCAACTATGGAACTATCGGAGAGCAAACAGGCAATCCTTCCGAGAATTCCTCACAAGAACACAAGTACACAGGAATGGAGGAAACGGCAGCCGGCCTATTGGCCCATACTGGGCAGTCCCGTTTACACCCAACCCCTATTGCTCATATGAGCATCCAACCTATGTTTGAAGCAATTCAGCCTATTCGAGTTAATGATGATATTTGGTAACTTGTTCCATTCATCCACTACTCTGTTTCCAAACCAGTGTTTACCTATTTCACGCCTAAATCTAAATTTGTCTAATTTAAAACCATTGTTACGAGTTCGCTCCAGGTTGGATAGTTTGAGTACCTTTGTAATGTCCCCTTTGTTTAGCCCTGCCTTCCACTTATACACCTCTATCAGGTCGCCCCTCGCTCTACGTCTCTCAAGGGAGTGCAAATTAAGATGCTTTAACCTGTCTCTATACTCAAGGTTCCTAATGCCCGGGATTAGTCTTGTCATTCTCCTCTGAATTCTTTCCAAGGATTCTATATCCATTCTGTAATACTGTGACCAGAACTGAACTGCGTAATCCAGGTGTGGTCTCACAAGAGCAAGATACAGTTTTAGGATGACCTCGCTAGTCTTGTAACTAACACTCCTTTGTATGAACCCAAGTACTTTATTAGCCTTGTTACGAGCAAAAACACATTGTTTACTTGGCTTAAGGTTCCTACTTATCATTACTCCTAAATCTCTCTCGCAGTCGGATTTCTCATGGCATCGTTGTTCATCTGGTATCTGGTTTCCCTGTTTACATCGCCTATACTGAGTACTTTACAGTTGTCGACGTTGAATTTCATCTGCCATTTTTCAGACCATTCGAAAAATTTGTTTAGATCTTCCTGTAGTTTTGCTGAGTCCTCGTCAGATTTGATAACACGTCCTATTTTAGTGTCATCAGCAAATTTACTTATGTTGCTGTCTATGCCGATATCTATGTCGTTTATGTATATAATAAACAATAATGGTCCAAGTACTGAGCCTTGGGGAACTCCACTTGTGACGTTGCTCCAATGGGACTTAGTGCCGTTAATGCTCACAGCCTGTTTCCTGTCCTGTAACCACGCCCTAATCCATTTAAGGATGTCACCTTTGATGCCATGAGCTTTTACCTTTCTAATTAGTCTTTCGTGGGGGACTCTGTCGAAGGCTTTGCTAAAGTCAAGATATACCACATCATAATTGTGCCCCTCGTCCACCTATTCGAAAACTGATGAAAAGAATGTTAATAGATTAGTTAGGCAAGAACGTCCGCTTGTGAAGCCATGCTGGCAATCATTGATCAATCCGTGCTTCTCCAGGTGATTTCGAATAGAGTTTGAAATGATTGCTTCCAGTAATTTGCCTACTATTGATGTTAGACTGATTGGGCGGTAGTTAGAGGATAGTGATCTATCCCCCTTCTTGAAAATCGGTATTACATTCCCTATCCTCCAGGATTCTGGTACTACACCTGTTTTTAAGGACATGTTAAACAACTTTGCTAAGGGAATACTAAGCTCTTCCTTACATTCCTTTAATACTCTGGCAAATATCTCATCGGGACCAGGTGACTTATTCGGCTTTAGTTTGTCTATTTGTTTACTAACATCGTTACTAGTCACTACTATCTCACTTAATTTGTTTTCTTCACTATCTCTGAATAGAGTCGGTGCCTCGGGTATCATGTTTAAATTTTCGGTGGTGAAAACTGTTGAAAAATATTTATTCAAATTATTGCTCATTTCTCCGTCGTTATCAGTGAGCTCGCCGGAGTCTGACCGTATTGGTCCAATCTTTTCTCGTGTTTTAGTTTGATACATTTGGTAGAATCCTTTGGGGTTTGTCTTCGCCTCCCTTGCTATCCTTACCTCATTATTCCTCTTTGCTTTCCTTATCTCGGTTTTAACCCCACTCGCCAATACCCTATAATAGTCCCGGAGGTGAATTTCGCCACGATTTATCCTTCTACCTATAGCCTTCCTTTGGCCAATGATGTTCTTTAAATAATTATTTATCCATTTAGGGTCATTGTTGTCTGATCTGAGTTTTTTGTATGGTATGTTCTGCCTTTGTGCATTAAGTAACTCACTATTTAAATTGTCGTGGAACTCGGCAATCTCAGATCTCGTTATCAGGTAGGTGTCATCTGTCAGGTTCACGGCCAAGAGCGACACCCCCTCTCTCAGCTGCCTCTTTAAACTGTCAAAGTTGGCCCTTCTGAAATCTGGTACTTTAGTGGAATTTTCCAGACGTCTACCCTGAAAATCTAACTGGAATCGAATTTCTTTGTGATCGCTGTTTGCAAGTTCGTTCCCTACCTCGACATTGCTAATGAGGTTTTCTCTGTTCGACAGAACTAAATCCAGTATATTATTACCCCGTGTGGGTTCTGTTATATGTTGACTTAGGAAACAGTCCTGGATTGTCTCGAGAAAATCCTCTGATTCTGAGTTACCCTTAAGGTCAGTCCAATCTATTTGGCCAAGGTTAAAGTCGCCTACTATACAGACTTTGTTGTGTGTGGAAGCCCTGCGCATTTCATCCCAGATAAGTCGCTCATTGACGCTATATTACTCCTGTGATTAATTTTTCCCGACCGTCGCTTAATTCTATCCAAATTGTTTCTGTATTCCTCTCAGTTTTTATTTCCTTATTTATTTCACACTTCAGATTATCCCTAACATAGATTGCTACTCCGCCTCCTTTCCTGGTCTGCCTATTGGTATGGAACAGTTTGTAACCCGCAATTTGGTATTCGGCTGGTAATTCACGTGTGTCTAGGTTGATCCATGTTTCAGTGAATGCAATTATATCGATTTCTTCGGTACATACCAAAGCCCTAATATCATCCATTTTGTTTCTCATACTTCTACTGTTCGCGTAGTATACATTTAAGTTAGTTGTGTTCTGAGTCCTCCCCTTACCGCTTTTAGTTTTAAACTCCCTGTCTAATTTAGTTTTGTCATCATTCCTAACACTATTTCCCTGTAATCTTTCGCCTTGTTTACCCGCTCCCACTGCAGTTTCCTCCACCCCCGTGCCCATATGTTCTCTTAGCAGTTTAAAGACTTCGATATCTTTTGAACTGCCCCCTCTAGAGCCCCAGCCAGGGTTGCTATTCCAATCTCCATCCCTAGACAGGTGCACCTCATCCCTAGTATAAAGGTCCCTTCTGCCATAGAAGTTGTCCCAGTTGTCAATGAATGGGACTGATATTGACTTGCAATATCTGTCAAGACGGTCGTTGACACCAACCGCCCTTGACAACCATTCACTGCCAACTACCCTTCTAGGCAGGACACCGCATATGATAGGGATCCCTCCCTTAGTCCTAATACGATCTATGGCTGGAAGGAAATGGAAGGAAAATGCCACAAGATGCCTCGGAAGGAAAACAACATCTCCGACATAGACAATATGTCCCCAGCAATCCACCCCGTGGCAGAACCACCCACCTTCGCGATTCGGACTGTGATGAAGTACAAGATTCCCAAAGAAACCGAATTCAACCATGCATACTAGGTAGTGGTAGCACTGGAACTAGAATAAAAGAACTTCAAGTTCAGTGTGAAGCCCAATCTAGTTGGAGACCTAATACTTTCCCCCCAAGACCACAACACAGCCAAGATCCTCAGCGAGGTCACCAACCTCAACGGCAAGACGGTCAAGATAATACCATTAGACCCTGAGGAGAAAACAACCAGAATGGTCCTACTACGATATCCTCTGGAACTACTTGTAGAAGTCATCATAAAACATCCAAAAGTCCCATTTACACTCAACCCCTATTGCTCATATATCCATCCAACCTATGTTTGAAGCTATCCAGCGTATTTGAGTTAATGATGATGTTTGGTAACTTGTTCCACTCATCCACTACTCTATTTCCAAACCAATGTTTACCTATTTCACCCCTAAATCTAAATTTGTCTAATTTAATACCATGGTTACAAGTTCGCTCCTGGTTGGATAGTTTGAGTACCTTTGTAATGTCACATTTGTTTAATCCTGACTTCCTTTTATACACCTCGATCATATCGCCCCTCACTCTACGTCTCTCGAGGGAGTGCAAATTAAGATGCACCTGCAGTTACCATCTGTTTCAGTTAACGTCAGTTTTAGTTACCAACAGTTTCAGTTAACGTCAATTTCAGTTACCAACAGTTTCAGTTAACGTCAATTTCAGTTACCAACAGTTTCAGTTAATGTCATTTTCAGTTACCAACAGTTTCAGTCAACATCATTTTAAGTTACCAACAGTTTCAGTTAACGTCAATTTCATTTACCATCTGTTTCAGTTACCAGCAGCTTCAGTTACTTTCATTTTCAGTTACCAGCAGTTTCAGTTACCAGCAGCTTCAGTTACCAGCAGCTTCAGGTAGCAGTAACTAACATCCTCACACTGTCCCTGACATTTATAAAAGCGAAATCTCTCAGTATTACTTATTGAAGCGTGCTGGTAGTAGAGCAACTCTCATGCAGTATATAATTATATGCTTTGTGACTCCAAATACCATTACATAAAACACAAATAAACATTATCACTGACGTACGTGATATAAAACTAAAAATGCTAACTTTGTGCACTGCAGCTGGCTTGTGATGGTAGCCAATCAAATGTTGAAACGTTTCGTGGCTGACTAGATTTTCAGCCAATGGGAATATTCATAATATTTCCGTTCATGAGACAAGGAACCAATGATATGGCCAGGAGAGTGGTCGAGGACCCGCCCACCTCCACCACCACACTTCCAGCTGGATTGTGGTCAGAGTGAACCTGACTCCTGTGTGGTGAAGGTTCTTGACGTTCTCCAGAAGTTGTTTTCCAAGTAAGTTATGTTTGCAGACGTTTTAGTGTAAATATATTTTTTTATCATCAATAATTTATAAATGTAGTGTTGCGTACTCTGACGTTGTCAGGGAAACCATCCTAAAGTGAATTTATATAATGTAGATAAGCTTCATGCAATTGTTTTATTTTGTGACGCAACAACAGTGGGATCATAACTATCGATTTTTCTTATATATTCAGCCCAGGAATTATTAATTAATGGCGTTTTCAAAAATGTACAATATTTATTTGACATTGCTATTCCGTAAGTTACGGAGGAACTGGAAACTTGGCCTACGAAGATTAGTTATCGTCAGATATCATTTTCAGCCAATTTGGTGAACATTAAGTTACGTGTGAGTGTGAACAGTGATTACTCTACGAGGTACAGTATTGACGTGTGTACAAATAAAAGAGCAATGATTCACTCGTGTATACTCGGCGGAGGTACAGTCACCCACGAAAATCCTGTCGCCTCTCCTGTAGTTCCACGTACCCCGAGGTCCAGACTTGTGAATCAAAAGTATTTATGAAGAGGACTGAATAATACAACAGAGTCTACTGTTTTGGGTTCACGAGTCTGAATCTTGAGGTTCGTGGAACAGCAGGAGAGGCGACAGGACTTAAGTAGATGACTGTACATGTAAATAAATATAACTCCTCCCAACAAAAACTCTAACTGTACACCAATAAAACTGTTCTACATATTTAATCATTATATCTATCATTTAGAATGACAGTGTATACATTATATAAACAAGTGAATAATGTGATGTTCTCCCCTGTGGCAGTCAATGACCTCAAGGTTCCGGAGACCTTTACACAGGAGGTGATGTGTCCAGCCTTTCAGTTGACTTACTTAACAAGTACAGGAAATCTGTTTAACAAGAATTTCACGATATCTCTAATAAGTTCAGGAATATTTTGTAATCCCTTTAGCCATCAACTAACCTAACCATTAACCATGAAATCCCAAGTTACAAAGATTCCCTGTAACATAAACACATCCAGCCTTTTATCCTAGTTGATTTACTTACCAAAATAACATAACGGCGTAAGTCAGAGCTGGTCATTATTACCTACGTTATGCCACTTTTAAAAAAAATATCCCTTGCATAAAGAACATCCAGCACTCAAGTTATAAACGGCTGAAATTGAACTGACTAAACGTATTCAGAAATGATCATCCTGTCATATAAAAGTTATGTACTGGCGAAGATGAGAGACTTTTAGTAAACTTTTGTCAGGTTTGTACATGTTTAATTAGGTCTAACTTAACCTTATCAAAGGACGCGATTCCTAATATACTTTATTTATTATCAAGATTAAGGGCACAAGGTTGATATTATATGTATTGGTAAAGTAAAACGGCTATGAACAAATGTTTGGTGCCATTGTCCATTTTGTTGACTGAGACGTAGACAAGATTCCTTTGAAGGAAATAAATAGCTATTAAAAACCTAGAGCAACCAAGTGAAGGATTTCCATCGTTTGATAATGGTATAATTTTCTCTCTTAGATAATAATGATATTTTATCCGAAACTAACTAATATGACAGGATTTTCACCATAAGGAAGCGTAGAGGAATTTTATCCGTGCGTCGATAACTCCGGCAGCCAAGAGTTAGGTTAATTGAGTCAGACGTCAGTACTTTAAAGGTCTCTCTGTCAGGGAGGAAGTGGTAGTGTGTGGGCGGTAACTTATTGATTATACCTGCTTCACTGCGGCTTATCCAAGTGTCATCAATCTGTAATTCATGGCCTACTGTTGCCTATACATCCCGTGAGAATAATGCTCTTTGGCTGCCCGTCCGAATGTAGGGAAAACAGTCACAGGAAGAGTCATAATCCTAATCAAACTTAACAACATAACCTAACCTAAACTAATCCAAAGAAAATTTTCACAATTCTAACCTAACTTTGTGCTTTTTAAGAGTGTTACTTTATTTCCACTGACTCTTTCCATCCTCAGTATTGTTATGTTTTTAATCTGTGACTATTTCCGTCCATCCTGCCCAGCGAGCATGGCCGAGGATGTGGGTGAGGAACTGTGGCCGAAATAAAGATTCGATAATAATCTATTTATATCTATTATCTGTATTCCTTGCATTGTATTTTGTGTAAGGAGGGGGAAGAGATGTAGCCATGTCAAATAAAAAGTAAAATAAAAAAGGCATTAATGATAGACTAGCGTAGAGAGCAACAGGGAAAATATTTGTATTAAGTGATCTTGGTATGATCACAAGTGTATGTTGTCAAAATTGTGTTAAAATTGTTAAATTCTGGACTCTCGGGTTAGGTTAGGTCATTTTACGAGAAGCCTTAATTTTACAATATACGAGGCAAATCCCACGACAAAATCCCAAAACAAATATGATGCAGCAGACAATATAGTATTCACAATCCCATCACCAGAATAATAAAAAAAAATCAAATATCGTCCCTTGTGTGACTACTGATCTAAAGTAATTATTTAGAGCATCTGCTGCCTGTCTGTCCTTAAGAGGGTTAACAGTAACTTTGGTTTTCATAGTACACCTGACTTATGCATAGAAACACTTGGGATCATTCTTGATATTTTAATATTTTGGGCTACGCTTCATTTCAAGGTGTCGTTTGTCTGATCTAATTTTCTGTTTAGCCACATTTAGGGCTCTTTTGTTCTCCATTATCTGCATGGTGACCTGTACTCCGGTGCATCTTCCACAACTGGTCTTTTCTTTTGATGGCTTTCCTGGATTTGTGATTCATTTACGTGTCCTTAATCTTTCTTCACCTTGATTTCCGGGGTATATGATCCCTTTACTGTTGTCTCAAAGGCTTCCATAAATTGTTGCCATGATTCGTCTATGCCCAATTCCTCTTTAATGGTTGAAGTTATAGTATTCCTCATCAACTACTCTCTCTCTCTCTCTCTCTCTCTCTCTCTCTCTCTCTCTCTCTCTCTCTCTCTACTTTCAAAGATTGTATTCCATCTTAGTGGTCGCTGGCAAGAGTTAGTTTCTCCCCGACGTGGACCTCGTCCACCATTGTCTCCTCAGTCGTCCAGACCAAATTCTCGTGGGAGGAAGAATCACTTCGCTACTGAGATGAATTTATTTATAGCCACACCTTATTAGATAGGCTGTCCTTAAAGAAGGGGGGGGGGGGGTCAGGTTCCTCTCTGATCCTGTTTACTCTGATGGCCAGGGCGTGAATTTAGATTAACAAATACTAGCTCCTTCAATTGTTAACAATCGCTCAATGGAAATTCACAAAGCTTGCCCTTGAAAAAAATCACTGATATGCACTACTCATTTACTGCTAATGTTACACCATTAACTATCAGGATGTGCCTTAACATTCGCTACTTAATGTCCTGGTGGCACACCACAATAACCTGTTACCGTGTTCTAGGGTAAGTCACTATTTCTCACTCATTTACTGTACCTCTGATATTTTGTATACCTCACACTGGTCTTGGAACGCCTTCACTATATTACCAGGTCTTCTTATGGTAGGTGAATCACGGTCACCACTAATGGATATCACTGAATTTCTTCACTTTTTATCCCTTTTGTGTGTTTGTGTGCATGTTATTCTCGGGGCTTATGATAACTGTTATGTGCCGCAAAGGATAAAGGGTTCGCCTCCTGATCTAGGAGTTTGTGGTTCGATTCCCAGGCAATTTCAGTTCACCCAGCTGTAAATGAGTACCTAGATTTACAACTTGAGGATGTGAATGCGGTCGAGTGCAGTACCGGCCTTTTTGTTTTGTTTTTACCAGGGATTAGTCCACCCAGCCACAGGTCACCGACCCACACGAGGGCCTGGGGAGAGAAAGAAAAAATTAACAAATCAACAGTGAGAAACGATGAATAAGTTGTGGTGGCAAAGAAAGAGGAACAATTGAGAACTCTAAAATGTATTTGTATTCTCATCATAATTGCCCCGTGGATATGAGAGGACACAACATTATTCTACTCTGTAAATTGTCTGTAGTGATTCGACTACCAGAGTAGGAGTTGGGTGGCGGAGTCAGGGAGGGTGGGGGAGTGGGGAGATGAGAGTTCCCTCCAGATGACAGCATACAAGAAACTATTATTTAAGACCTTTAAGCAACAGCTATATCACTTTACATCATAAATTGCACTTTTGATAATAATAATAATAATAATAATAATAACAATAATAATAATAATAATGATGATAATAATAATAATAATAATAATAATAATAATAATAATGATGATGATGATGATGACGATGATAATAATAACAGTAATAATAATAATAATAATAATAACAATAATAACAATAATAATAATAATAATAATAATAATAATAATAATAACAATAATAACAATAATAATAATAATAATAATAATAATAATGTTATTTTTACCCTTTAACCTTACCCTTTAACCACACCCTTTAACCTCACTGTTTGGTACAACTGAACTATGTGGTTTGCTGATTCTATACCGCACTGCTGTCAACTGAACTATTTTGTTCACATCGAGTTTGTATTACTATAAATATGTGGGGCCCACTTCCTGATTGGCTTGATTGATAATTATCAATCAAGGGATTAATTATAATTAATCCCTTCGATCCGATGTCTTCTTATCTATTTTACTCTGGCTACCACCAAACGATTTTATTCAGCTGCGGAAGATCCCTCTCGTAGTCAAGGGGTTAAACAAAACTTCGTTGCTTCTACAAGGTTTAGATTCAAACATATCCATAATTCATTTGCTCATAAATTCCCCCTTTTGTAAAGGAACACCTTACTTAGAACATGAATTCATCCCTCCCCCTTTCATCCTATTGGAACCTTAGTATTTTCATTTAGCTAGCGCTAGATGATTATACTTAGCTGGGTAAACCTTGTCACTATTGTTGAAGCGTTATCCTGTATTGTAATCTCTCCCAACTGATATACACTTTCCCTCCTCAGCCCCAGTATCCCGTTTCTACCCCACAGAAAGACACCTACCCCGACACACCCCGACACAC